CTAGCCTCTTCCATCTAGATCTATGGAGGGTTATTGATAACGACACATAGAACTAGCATCTGCGCTTGTCATGGCCGCAACCAATCAACCGTGGCTCGATTTTTTGGGCATTTTTTGGTCCCCGAACCGGGGAATAAAAGTCAAATTTTAAAAAAAGAATCCGAACCTCTTTACTTTTGAAAGAAAGATCACTTCTTCACTTCGTCTCTTTCTCACTTGTGGTCACCACGTTGATTTGTTCACTACGTTATAGTTACAAACAATTTGTATTTTGTAATGCTGTTCCTCTTTTATTTTTCCCTCTTTGTGGTGTTTTATTTTGTTGGTGTGTACTCTTTTTTTCTTGTTATTGTTCTGATGTGTTGTTTTTCTATTAAAATTAAAAGGGAGGGGGGGATGTTGTACAGTGTAACGTCATTTAATTTGATGTTCCTACCTTCATTAGATACTAAATATATATATATGTGTATTATATATAGAGATTTTTGTCATGTTATCTTAGAGCGTTCCACCAAAACCGATTACATGTACTGACACCGGCAGGCCCCTTGTGTGTGATTCCATAATTTACATGTAATATAATATCCTGTATTTTTTTTTTTAATTACGCACATTTAGGGTTAAAACAGCCAACCTTCTTCGGACAGGTGGACACACGCCCTTATTTGTTAATTTTTGTGGTTGTTTATGGGCTGTTATAACTTTGATTTCATTCTGTTGTGAAACCTTTCTTTTTCACGTTTTTACAGTCATCTAAAAATCTCTAGACTAGCTCTTGAAAATCGAAATAGAACTAGACCCAAAAATTTGCTCCTTCCAGACCTCGCAGAATGGCAGAATGAAAGTTGGTGCTGAACTATCACAAATAGGAAAAAAATCACAAGACCGGAAGCCGGAAACCGTTCAGAGAAAACTTTATTTCTCCGAACGTTCTGAGAACGGAGTGTCCACGTACACGGTAACCGGGCACCTAGCCTCAGTGTCTACATACACGGTAACTGGCAACCGGGCTCATAGTCTCAGTGTCACTTACACGGTGACCGGGCATGTAGTCTCTCTATTACGGTAACCGGACAGTCCAGAACTCCAAGTTCAGTTTTTGTTATCCGGTGCTGCCTTCATCCCCACCCCTCCCCCGACTGTACCTTTAAAAAAATCAATAATCCCTCTATTCCGGAGCCCTATACTTCGCAGCGCACAGACTTTGAATGAACTTTGGTGACCCCAACCGGTACTCACAAAATGTGATGCGCCCGCACAGGTTCGCTGACCAGTCACAAAGGCGAGCCCGCCAAGACGCTTGTATGACTTTCTTTTTTTTTTCAGCAAGTGACAGCATAGGACAAACTGATTTATTTTCATTCCAGTTACCTTGTACGTAGATCATGAAGACTAGGTGCCCGGTTACCGTGTACGTAGACACTCCGTTCTGAGAAATAGTCACTTCATAAAACTAATGACTAATGAATATATATATGTTCATAATCATGGGAAAAGAGTTAACGTCTAGATCTAGGGCTAGCCTACAGTAATGTATCACCACATCACTGCTTCCCTTCCTTGATTTGGAAACTCAATAACAGTGCCCATTGCATCTGCATCATGAGGGAGTGAAAACAGAAAATGACAATGAAGTTCAAGGAACAACAGAATTTTTCTCAAAATGCCAACAAAAAAGCCACGAAATTGTGTAGGCTAGACCTAGCCTAGACTTCTAGATCTAGTAATAATAGGCTACTGTACTAGATCTATAGTAGAGCAACTTACCATGTTGATGGCTTCGTAAGAGGCTTATATTTTTTGTATTTTATTTTCCATTCAATAATTTCTTTGCACCGCTTACACAAACCCTCAGGACTTAAGCTTTTAATCATTTTCATTTTCCCTGAAGTATCATGCATGTCATTCTTGAAGGAAGAAGAATTCTGGTGTTTTTGTCTCCTGGTTCTGGAAACATTTCCTCTCTGAGAACTCATTTTATTCTAAGACTTAGTCAAGTGTAGTCAGTGTAGTGTAGTTAGTTAGGCTCCTTTATATTGTATCACTTAGCCTTAGCTTAGCCTACTTGGGCTTTTGTGTCTAGATATATATCTAGATCTAAGGCCTACTCCTTATTATACACAGCTGTACAATCATATAACGGATTCCAACGCAAACAATTGCCGATGGGAGCCACCCAAACAATGATAAACAATTACAATGTCAACAACCAGTGGTCTTTGAATTAGAATTAGAAAGATGGTTTCTCGAATCAAAGCACCACTCAGTTTTCACAGGGATACAGCACAGTGATGATTCTATTCGTCGTGGATTTGTTGATTCATACTCTTCAAGACCAGTGTTTTTGTTTAAATTCAAACACAAACACGTAGATATATCTACAAACACGTTGCCCAAATTTGTTTAGTTTAGGCCTGGTGTACACGCCACATTTCACGCGTTTGGTTAGTAAAAGCGAAAGGAGGAGAGCGGGGAAACCGGAAGCACTGGGAACTGGGAAGTGGGGGAAGCAACTCTAAATCAAAACATTCCAAAGACGTTCTATGTATTATAATAACCAAGGAGTTTACAGTAATGGAGGATGCTCTGTGGGCGGCCCCGCACGCCTGATTGGAGCCCTCTCTCGCAGCGGAACTGTGGTCTACCTGCGCTGCGCTCACGCAATGGAATCTAGAAAGAAAGAAGGTTTTATTCCTAGATTAGGAAAGTCAATTTTAAAAATGCCTTCCACCTGTGTTGTGTTTAAGTGTAAGAACCGATATGATGTTGCAGTGGACATAAGTTTTCACATGTGTTGTTTTTTCTTTTTAAAAAATCTGAATGAAAGTGTTTTTATGCCTCCCAGCGACACAATCTAGATCATTAACTTTTATAAGGGGCTGGCTGCGGCGCTACCTGCCAAGGCCAACCCGGGCAGAAAGGAGTACACTGTAACAACACCCCAGAAGAAAGACCGAGATACTTGATTTTTTATTTTTTTAAATTCTTATTCTAGTGTGTGTGTATGTGTGTGTGTGTGTGTG